CGCATTAGTCGGGCGTTTCGCAACCGACCATAATTTGCTACATCAAAGGAGTTCGTAAAAAAGACCGCAATTTAGGCTAAAAAATGCCTTGTAATCCTCAAAGTGGCTCAATGTCACTGCTTCATAGGTTCTGTGCTACAAGCAAAATAATTGTATCACCAAATTAAACAAAAACCATGTAAAACAGCAACATAACCGCATGCACGCGTTCAAACCGAAACCAACCAAATTGAAGCAACCTAATAGCGCCGAGTGTTTTAGCGCTCTCTATCCGCCGGTGAGGCAACTACTAAAATGAACACTCGCCATCAAGATTCATTTTTTACTTTTTTTTGTTTGCACAATTTGTAGTCCCACACCTCTCTTGGCTTCCCCCTTCCCTCCACCCCAAAGTAACCAAACAAACAATGGAGCAGCAACAACCAACCTCCCTGGAATGAACGACTTTTAGCGAGTTCGTTTCACACGCACTGGCACGGTTCGAGTTCTCTCCCAGAATGCATCGCACTCACAGAGTGTTGCACGGAAAACTGGACTCAAATAGGGGTGTCGCGAACTTTTGTCGAACCAGATTTTTTGGTCGAACTTCCGGGGTTCGACTGAGTCGAACCGGTTCGACGAACCTTCGACCTTTTCACCAGATTCGACCGGTTCGACTTTATGCTATGGACAGTGTGGCCAGTCCTTAATACAAGCATGTCTAGGTTTGGAGAATCTTTTTTTATGCAAGGGGTTATTTTATTTTGTGAACAGCTGCAATTAAAAGAAACTAATTTTAATCACTGAAGAAGTTAATAACTTAATTTTTAGTGCTGTATTGACTGAAATAGCCAATCAGCGCTCCACTTAATTCATCTCTTAGCCATTACCATCCAATCCGAAGCCAACTGGTCAGCCTGTCGTGCATGCGCACACGAGTCGAACCTCAATACAAGGTTCGTCGAACTTTCCACTAAAAGTTTGAAAAAGTCGAACCTGGCCGAACTCGAACCACGACCGGTTCGCGACACCCCTAGACTCAAACGAACTCGCCAAATGCACCGAGTGCAGAAGACTGACGCTGCCGCCATCTATGTTGTAGAAAAAGTACGGACTTCAAACCGAAACTAGCGCCTTTCTGTTCGGAGTGATGCGTGGGAATGCGAGAATGCAGTCGCTACCAACGTTTATCTACGAACCTTCAAGCAGCTAGGCTTCCGTAGAGATGATTACAGACGGCGTAAATTTCCGCAACCAGCTGTCTACAAAGCAGCTGGTTGCGATCTTTCAATTCTTATAACCGTTTACACTGAAAACTGATGATGCTGTCCGAGCAGAAGCTTGATCTGTTTGAGCATGGTATTATTCGTGAACCACTGAAAGGGTACGGCTTAAAACTAGCCTGTTGGAATATCCAGCAAAACTGGGACTTTCGATTTGGATCGTCATTATAGGTGGATTAGATATTAGCCTTGGTGAGGGCGTCGAGAACGAGAGCTTTCTCGAACAAAATACGATGGGGCAAGTTAGCTGACGTAGGTAAATGTTAAACATGGTGATGTTGCCCAATCCTCGGGTAAAGTCTCCACCTTTAGCTTTCTCTGATGCTTATTTGGCAGTCAGAGGTTTCTGCCGGGGGAGTTTTGTGGACAAATGTTAAATTTTTCACCCGCACATGGATGGTGATAGACATCTCGGGGGCCGCTGTTGCGTTTGTTCTGAGCATTTCTTTACACACTGGTATATTTCAGCGTTTGTGCGGCAACAGAGCGATTTAAAACCTGCAAATAAATCACGGGTTGTCAATTGCTTCCTTCGTGAAATAGCAGACGCTCACAATTCAAGCTCGTGTTTGATTTCGTTGCCCGCAGGACGCGATTTCTATCAGAAAATCTACTTTTTTTTCCGTTCGGTTCCGCGACACATCGTAGCAGACGAACCCTCGTCGTCTGCTCCCGCTCCTCGCCGGCCCCACCGGAGCGAGGCATGACAGGATTGCATTTTGGCGCACTCCCGATTTTCTCGGTGCAGCAAGTGCATGCACGCGTGGGGTGTCAGCTGTGTCAGCGCTGAAACGAACTCGGAGAGTGCAACCACTCGTGGAGTGCCGGCCGAAACGAACCCGTTCCACGCTGCGAATGGGCACGCGTGGGCACGAGTGCCGTGAAACAAACTCGCTATTTGATAGCACCATGATGGAACTTAACCCGAGACTGGGGAACAAACAGAAACTTAAAAGTAGAAGGGACAAAGACAAGTGAAGAAGAGAACGTTTTGAGACATTCTCTTCTTCACTTGTCTCTGTCCCTTCTACTTTTAAGTTTCTGTTTCTACCCCAGTCTCGGGTTAAGTTCCATCATGGTAAATATCCACCAGCTCGCCTGCACTTTAACCGTTTTTTCTTTGATAGCACCTTAGCTTGGTTGCGCTTCTCGCGCAGGGGTTGCGATGTTAGAACGCCAAATTAGTGTTGGCCGATTGGAAAAAAAAGTGGGTAGACATCAAGGCATCTAGCATTGATGTCTACCCACTATCCTTTCAATCAAAGCCACTCGGAACTCGGCATCGTCGGCATCGTTCTGACGTCACCGCAACCCCTGCACGAGAAGCAGATCACTTGCTCCCCCCATTACTTTTTATCTGTACGCCGACGTCCACTACGGTCGACGTTAGGTGGAAGGATTTGTTTTGTTTAAGACGTATTTTAATGATTTTTCCACCACCTCGACCTTACGTCATTTGTGGGGAAGATGAGGGGTGAGAGATGGGGAATACGATGAGGATGAAATGTTTAAAAACAGTGCCGGAAGTCGGCTTCTCGAACAAGTCCAGCACAATCTTCCTGTGCTGTATGTCGCCCCCTGGTCGCGTCCATTCTACGAAAGTTTTGGGTCGATGACCGCCTTGAGCGTACAGTGGCTCTGCATTCCCAGAGAAGATGTATTATAGTTGCTGAGAAAGGGTAAAAGTACAGGCGAGCTGGTGAATAACTTCCAACGTAAACAGGAGACACGGCAAAATAAAGAATAAATAAATTAAAAAAAAAAAACGGACAAAACAACCTACAAGTCTAAAAAACGAGATAAGGCTTGTTGTTTTGTCCGTTTTTTTTTCTTATTTTGTCGTGTCTCCGGTTTACGACGGAAGAGGTGAAAGGAATAATTTTTTTATTTCATGTTTTTTTTTAATTAGTTTCAGTCATGGGTGAAATGCCCTGTATGAACATACTAATCAATGAACATCCTAGGAGTTACAAAATCACGCCACACTCTCAGCAACAGTGCTGATCAGGATCATTTTAATACTTTAGGAATGGGATTATCCCAGCATGTCGATCCAGTTATTATTGTGGTTCAGGTCGAGTTCAGCTTTGTATTTTGTTAGTTCGGTACGTGGTTTAATTACTGGTCCCACCAATGCAAACCAGCTCATAACTCTACCTCAGATCGGGGCCGACCCTGTATTTTGTGCAAAAAAAAAAAAAAAAAAAAAAAAAATGATTGTCATTTGTTTAAAAAAAAAATGAAAAAGTGAATTTACTTTAGCATATTTGCATTAAAAACCACCAAAAAAAGACTGGTCACCAGTAGAAATTCTGGCAAAACGGGAACAGCAGAACAAATATGTTTAATTTTGCTTTGCATTCTCAACTCGGCAACAGTATGCAAGATCAATCAGTCAGCCCGTGCCATAGAAACCGAACCAAATTAGTCGTTAGATGTTTAGACAGCTTGAGGTTATAGTCACCCAGAGTATGGCAACATTACCTACATGCTGCAGATGAAAAATATAGCCAGTGCGGTACAGTACCACTGCTAGCCTGGCGTCTTTATCGTGCATCGCGCAGTAGTGATACATGACTGCATGCTAATATGATGCTCACCTAGATTGTAACGGGCAGGGGTAGGGATTCAACCTGGGATCCCAGGGCACGACTACTTACCTTGAATGACCGATTTTGAAGACAAGAAGGACAGCAAAGGGCAGTCAAAAGATTATTTAAACACGAAAGGAAAAGAAAGGAACAAGTGATATGCTCAATGTGAAAAACAACCTCTTTTTATGCAGCACCCAGAGCTACCTAAAGCTAATGAAAATCAGTTCATCGAACAACATTTCCTCGACAGATTGTTTCATCGACAAATTGTTTCATCAACAGCATCGAACTAACTTTTTTTCTGTAATAAGTTGCATGAGACTGTCGCTGCAAAGCAGCGTGTCAAGTCGGTCAGGTGGGTTACAGTTTTGTAATGAGCCATCGCAGACTGTCGCCAGAAAAGTGGCGTGAATGCAGGTGGGGGGGAAGGGGGGGGTTAACACGCATCCCAGAGCAACACGCGTGATGAAATGTTCCTACTGCGTGCCATTCGCGCAACAAGTGTCGATGAAATGTTCCTGTCGACGAAACGTGTGTCCATGAAACGCGTGTCCATGAAAAGTTGTACACAAAACGTAATTCTACAAAACGAGTTTCAATGAAACGATAGGGACCACCTAAAGCCCTTTCGTGTTTTGAAGTAGTGTTAGGTGCGTCGATGCAAGAGGCACGTGTAACATGCAGCCTTTGGGAAGATCATGGTGGCACAACGCAGCACTTGGCTAGATTTCAGATGCCATGTTCTTCCCAGAAGTGGCGCGCGGCACGGGTCTCAAGCATTTCCGCAATGAATGGAGTCACTTTTCCAAGGATAGAGGGGCTTTAGAGCTACCTGGCGATAAGTGTCCCGGCACACTGCCTGCCATCATGCTCCTCTCTCCAGTTGTCTAAGTGGCACCTCCAGTTTTTGTCACCACAGAACAACCAGAAGCCAAAAGCACCTTCTTTTTGTCTTTTCTTTCCTTCAAGATTGTTTTGCAGCAGCAAAACAGGTAAAGAAAAGCTCTTGAGCCTCTTGGCATAGTCAGCTATGACTTTAAAATAAGGCAACTTTTTTTACCGAAAAGCAAACAGTAAGAAGGGAAAGGAAATTAAGAGAGGATGCTTTACAAGTGAGAAAAACAAGCACACACAAAAAAAATACTTGATGTTCTTGCTTGCATGCTTTTATACCAACACTGAATGCATACTGCACCGCATTGCAAACCACAAATATCACCAAATTACTTGGGGACATTCAACTGACTAATGTACAATGCGTGCAAGTTTTAAGAAAGAACTTAGAAGTGTGAAATTATAACCATAATGCAAAAGCATAAGAACCAAACACAACAGTATGGTGGGCCCATATTGGGCGGCACCACATCAGTACATGCTTTGCAACATGGTGCTGTTTCCTGGATAAGGCATATATCAACCTCATTTGCAAAGACTCAAAACAATTTTCAAAACAATTCCACAGCATATTCAATCGTCCTTTGGGCTATGTGTCTACTGGTGGCATGGATGTCGGACACCCTGGATCACCATTTGACTTGTTAGGAAGATCACAGTTAAGAAGAGGTGACGCAGCTGCATACCACTAAGTTGCCTCATTGCTTGGCAGATGGTCCTCTGCTGTAGCCTCATCATTAATAAACAAAGTGGAGTTCAGAGGCAGTTCACAAATGTCCTTTACACAGGCCAGACCAGACACAAAGACAAGCTGCTTTCCTTCCAAGAAAGGGTGCAGGATTGAGGACACAATTTAAGAACCGCCACGACGTAAAAAACCAAGCTCGCACCACATTCCATCATAGGCAGTTCCCACATGGCTAGTGACGACAAGGACCCTCGGAGCGATTTCTGAGCACAACCAGACAAGCTCCATCACAAACTCTTTTAAAGCAGAGTTATCGATGCACTGCCCAACCAAGAGATAGGCAACTATGTGTGTCCAATGCTGATTCATACCAGAAACCTTAAACATTAAGATGCAGTTTCGACTTCTCAAGGCGCTCTGAATGTGGCACAGAACCAAGATGACACTCCACAACTTGCGCAATCTCCATCTTGTCAACGAAAAGTATATAGTCTTTTTCTGTGTCTTCCATGCCCTCAGTCTTGCACTTTAGTACATCAAAAGCTTCCAAAAGAATGCCTGAAAATGAACTCTGGCTCTGTAACCTTCGTTCGAGAGTTGAGATAGATGGCAGTGGGTACCCCAGGTTCCTTAGTGTTTCATAACCTGCCTTCCCACATGTATCTTTGATCTGAAGGGCTTGCTTGATGGTGTTTGCAGACCAAATGAAACCTTGCACACTGTCCCCTAAAAGTGCCTGAAGCTGATCTTCATTCAAGAACTTCATACCATACTTAAGATTCTGGAGTTCAGTCTCAAGAACACCTACCTTCATCCTTAGACAGCTCATGTCCTTCTTTGCCCTCTCGCAGTACTCCTGTAAGTCTGCATTCTTCCTCATCACATTAACCAATTGCCTTCTAAGTTCAGCACATTCCGAGCTGGCAGGGAGGTTGCTCGGCTTTGCAGAAGGGACGCTGGGATTCGACTCTCTCCGAGACAAAATCGGAGGGGAAGAGGACGAGCTATCACCAGCTGCTAAAACATCTTTGTGCAGGTTATGCAGGTCCACTGCAGATGATGGTAATGATGTTGAAGGAATTTCGGTGCTTTCTGCTTCAGCAGAGTCTTCAAGCAGATGTATGCTCACTTCACATAGTGTAGATAGATCACAGTTGTTCTCAGGACGAGCAGGAACAGATGGAATGGACTTGGACCGTCTCTGCAGCACCGGTTTCTTTTTCTGTTTCGATGCACCTGTGAAAATGGAAATTGACATGCAAGATCATTGGTGACTGCAACACTGAATGTGGCAGTTTTTGTTGGCAGTGCCAACCTGTGCCTAATGAAGTTTAACTAACCATTAGCTACTATGCATTTGTGGGCATGTCCTTCCAATGTAAAAACAGCCCTAGCTACTTCTTTGGCAGTCTTTGAAAAAGTTACTTTTCTATGCATATTCACATGTGCAGATAACTTCCAGCTTTAATGAAAACTATATTTACAGATAGCTCCTGTTAATCTGATTTGTTGACGCGGAATTGTCCATGTCATTATTTATTTTATAGATGCGAGGTTCTGAAACGTCACCAGGACCAGTTGACACGTGAAATTTTTGAGGCCTTAGAGATAGCAAGATCAGGCGCTGTGTGTGTCAGCAGTCCTTCGATTGCCCTGCCAAGCAAAGAGATAGATTTTCTTGTTTCTTAACTTGCTTGTTTTGTGTGCATGCTCTGTATAACTCTTGACTGTGACTGTGTTCGTGTTCTTTGTTCTTGACTGTGCAAGCATATATTGCAGTTATAATCAAGAAAATTTAGCGGAGTCAGCGCTATATGTGTTTCTTCATCCGGTCTCTCATTTTTTGCACTGTTAGAATTATCAAGTTCTATACCAAATCTTTTTTAGTATAAAACGTGATTGTTATTAAGCAATTAATTTATCTTAGAAGTATGACCCACTTATGTAGAAATGCTATCAGGAAAAGTTTGTATTTTCCTCTAGTTGCAATGTAGAAAGTCAGGAATGGTTTGGAATAGGTTTATGACTGCAGTTACAGTGACTTCTTTAGTCAACAGCTTTGTCTGTTTTGTCCAGGTTTTCCTAAATAGGTTCCGAGAGAAAAGAACAGCTGGATTACAGTACTATTGCTAAGAGTATGAGTAGGAACACCAGAGCTTGTGGCCTTTGATACATCTTGCGGTACACCGAGGCTGAAAAAACTGTGGACTGAAGCGGGGGCTGTGAGAGTGTGCGCTTACTCTGATGAACACACCCTCACTACTGCCGCCCCCCCCCCCCCCCCCCCCCCCTTCTTTTGTTTTATCAGATCTAGCGCTCCTGGTCACACTGTTCACGATAGTACCATTGGAACTTACCGTAAAATATTGGGCAAGCGCCCACTCAAAATTTAGAAATAATCGCGAAAAAATGGGGGATGGGCAGTTGTCCGGTCATCAATTTTACATATCAATGTACTGTGCATATTTTCTCAGATCTTACAAATTTGGGAATGGGCGCTTAATGTGGAATGGGCGGATGCTCGGTATTCTACGGTAGTCCATTGCATCAAAATATGAATTCCCAGTGTGTTAGGATGGACCCAAAGCAAAACGATCCATGCTCGCATGGTCGCACCTTGGGATTATAGTTTTGTATTGAAGGTTACGTTTACGGTAATTAAACTTGCCGTTCATAGAAACCTTATTCACAAGCTTTTCACCTTCACTGCTATACCAAAGCAGAGGCTTCGGGGCATATTTGGGAAGTTCACAGTTGGTGAAACATTTCTTACTTGCGTTCAGAGTGACTGAAAAGTGGTTCAGACATTTGCATTGATTATGCCCAGAGCAACACCGGCCGGGAAAGAGTGTGACTTGTGAATGCATGATGAAGCTACTGCTTGTATTGCTTGCCACAGTGTATGGCAAGCCCCTGTTTAGGTTATTCTTGTTATTCTGGCTTATGTCACTTTGGATGGAACCAATGAAACTGTCTGAACCAGCCATAAAATCAAAGCAAGAATGAATTTGCACGGACAAGTGTTTACAGTGTGAGAAGCAATCCAAGAAGTAGCTTCATGAAGCAAACATGAGCTATGGTTGTATCAATGTCTGTCGTTGCCGTCATTTTGGTTGTTGTGGATTGCAGCCGAAGCAGATGTCTGCCAGGCTGTCAAAAAGTTATATTAAATGCCCTTTACACTGCCCTATTGGTGACGGAGGTATATAAAAAAAACTAATATTTAGATTTTTGTTTGCCGTTGTTTCCAATGTGAGTTTCAAAACAACTCATGCCCTTGCAACACGCTTAAAAATTAGACTCAAAGTAAGCTTCCCTCTGGATCCACTGAAAGGTTTGTGAACTTATTTCTTGAAGCTTTTCTATAGTTACCAAACAACAAACAGGTGCGACAGAAGCGTCAACTTACGACGAGAGGGAGGTTGTGTCGGAACCGCGTCTGGCTTTGGCTTCTTCCAGTTGTCAAGCCTGTTCTGCTTGTAATCACATGGGCGAGAGTGTGCCTGCAAACGCCGCAAGAGGTGTGGATCTTATCAAAACAGTCTCTTCCGTTCACAAGAGCACACTGGGGTATTCACTGGACGCCATATTGAAAGCAACGTTTAGAGCACATGCTCAGAACCAGCTTACATTAGCTTCGTTCGATTTACCCGCACCTCCTGCACTGGTGCAATAAAGCGTAGAACGGCATACTTCCGGTCGGATCTCAATACAGATACCAAGAGTACACTGCCCTACACTTTTCTGCACTGCTGCAGAACGTGCAGGTAAATCAAACAAAGCTATTAAGAGCCTTCCAAGACCGGCAATCTTGATAGCACAAAATGAATGTTGCAAAAGAACTGGCGAAGCTCGCCGTCAGCATGCGTTCAGCAGCCGCGCACACGGCCAGCGCTGACACAGCCACGGCCACTAGTGAATAATCCCCATACATAGTTTTCACAGACATCACTGCCGGGGCTTATGGGACATGTCAGCGCCATCGCCTGGAATTCCACACGCCAGGTGCGGACTATAGCCCGGAAAATATGGTACATATAGTTCTCACGTGACGTCACTTCCTGTACTTCCGCCCGCCATTGCAAAGTATTAAAGGGGCCCTGCAAGGAATTTTTTACTGGTTTATAATTTGCACCGAACCAGAGTGCACTGAACGCAGTAACTCAGTGAAACTTTTCTTTTCTCGAAATTCGCTTTATTTTAAAAGTTATAGGCATATTAAAATTACAAAGACAAGCAAAAAATAACCTCCCTCATGACGTCCTTGGTTGCTTGAGTGGCCGTGAACTAGAGGAGGGGTAGTGAGCTCATCGAGTGCTCACAACTACCGCACTCCCGTGTCGACGGCGCGAGAGGGCACCACTAAAGCATGTTCTGGATAGGCTGTATGCAGCGGGCAGCCAGAGCGGCTCTTAATGCATTTGCTGCGTGATTTAAGACTAATTCAGCATGACACTTCATTGGCCACAAACAACAGCAAACACGGGGTAAAAATCAGTTCAGGATGGGAGCCATTTCGCGCTGCCATACCGCGAAACGGCCAAACCGCAAGACAAAGTTCCTCGCCGAAGGCCCTCAGAACGCTCGGAGCCGGTCGGATCCTCCTGTCCATACGACCGCAGTGCCGCCGAGTACATCCGGGACCTTTCCGTGTCAGCGCCTGATCCCCCTACTCCTTTCTAGTATGCGCCGCCTTTTCTACCGCTTGGTGGCGGGTATGTCGACGAGTCATTTCTTGTTTCTGTACTTTATAAACTGCATTCGTGTCTTTTCTGATCTAAAATACTGAACAAAATCTACTTTTATGAATAACTGAAATGGTTCGCGCCAATTCTATTTTATATCTCGACTAAAAAGAAGCTTTTAGCGGCTCTGACCAGTAGTAAGCCCCGAACCAAAGACGTCACGTTTTGCGGGCTTTCGGTACCGCGAGTCGCCCTCGTCGGTGGAGGAGGTTTCCACGTCGTCCGGTTAAAATATGACGCAGTGGTATTTAGTTTCTTTCTCCGTGCCCGCTGGCTTGCCCGAACCCCAAGAGATGTGGAAACCGCAAAAAAGGTAGACGCTTAAATATGAATGCAGGACCCCTTTAAGAAGCTAGACGCGGACGCTGCTGCCGCCGCATGTGCGCCGCTCGATTGTGACCCACACGCAGCCTTTCAACAGGGTACAAGTGCCACCGGGATATTGACTTCTCGTCTTCAAAAAGAAAAAAGAAACGAATGGACGACATTCACGAGGGGCCAACTGCTGAACGGGAACCCCAAGTTTGGCCACAAGTGCAACCGACTGTGCCACCTCCACCAACAGAGGAAGAGCTCAGTATGTTCCACTCAAAACTTGCGGAGGCCGGAGGCTCCTTCGCAACTTGTTGTCCAAAGAGGCTCAATCGTAGGACTTGCCAGTGCTGGTTTGCCGTGCCAAGAAGGTACTTGCAGAACTTGTTGTTACTCAAGAAATGGCTGACAATGTTGAAAAACACACAAGGGGGCAGTCGAAATGTGCCAAGTGGTATGCGTATCATGGAGGGGGAATTAATGCATCAGTAATAAAAGGCGTGTACTCAACAAGTGCGACTAAACCCTCAGGAAGCGCACTGAAAAAAATAAGCTACCCTGAGCAACAGATTTTTTCCACTGCATCCACAGCTTGGGGAATCGAGCATGAGGGCGACGCCATTGTGAGATATGTGGAATGTATGGTTAAAAGTCATACCAACTTCAGGCATCGCATGACAGATGTTTATTTAAGCACAGAGTACCCTTATCTTGCAGCCAGTCCCAACAGTGTAGTTCGGTGTGCATGCTGTGGCAAAAGGGTTGTCGAAGTGAAATGTCCTAGCACATTGGCTAATAGCATGCTGAAGCAGAATAAAAAAACCCTGACTTCTGTATAGGTGATGTCAATGGCAGCCTGCACCTGAAATGAAATCACCCGTTTCTCTTTCAGGTGCAGACACAGATGGTGGTATGTGGTGCCCCGCACTGCGAGTTTGTTGTGTGGGGTCCACTGTCAGAGCTGCATATTGAAAGAGTGGCCAAGGACGATGCATTCTTTGAGGGTATAATTTCGAAGGCATTAGATTTTTTCACACAAGCAATCTTGCCAGAACTGTTCTCACAATACTTCACAAAAAATATAGACCAAAGTCAGGGGCAAGTGCAGGCCCCTTTTGCTACTGTCGGGGGCCTGAAGTGGGAAAAATGCTTGCATGCGATGGTCAGCATTGCAAGTATGGTTGGTTTCACTACAGCTGCCTGGTATCACGCGAGCCCCAAAACAAAAAGAGTGGTTCTGCAAAGATTGTGCCGCTGAGAATAGGAGCCAACAGCGAACCGCTCATCTTGCCAAGAAAACCGCACACAGATGTAGTCCATTGTTGAAGTAAACATAACATTAAGTGCTTTGTCTGCCATCAAGTGTCTACGCGAGATGCAGTAACAACACCTGCGTAGCTCCAGTGTTATGCTATGGTCTTCTCGTTAATAAACCAAAGTGACAGACTCCACATGCATGACTACATTGCTTCTTTCCAAAAGCCAGGATTACCAAACTGAACATTTCAACCGGCATCATGAACAACATTTATTATGCGCCGAAGGATGGTAAAATGCTCGCTTGGAGAAAACCCGCGAGCCACGTAAAGGGAACCAATAAATTATATTGTGATAACTCGTACTCACACATGAAAATAACAGCTGGCATTGGCAGTTGACCAACATATTCAGCAGTCAACAAATCAAATGCAGAGGCAAGTGAAAAAAAAGATGATTGAACCATCTTTTTTTGTCTGTTAACAAGTTGTTGTCATGAAAGGAACAAATGTTGCAACTGTGGAAGAACATCATGTGGATATTCTTTGGTTTTTAGGAACTACACAGGGGCAGAGGTTAAGAGGGCGCAGCAGACTGTCACTATTTTGTCAAGAGGTGCAAACTTGTGTCCTTGTTTAAAAGTAACAAAGTCAATTGGCTGAACAGACAGACTTCATGATATTTGTTGTGCACCACGCCAATAACCCTCTCACATGAATTCAAGCATTTGCGAGTTTTCAATTTAAGGCAGAAAGTTGCTTCTTGCCCTTGGTGAAGGCAGGAATGTGGAGCTTCACACAGTACACACCTAAAGTGTCAGCAATATGGAAGTCCCTGTCTGCTAGGACTACATCCCGGCCCCTTGTGCTAAATAGTCGAGAATTCTAGAGTTTTCAGTTATGTGCTTATCACTTGCTCTCCCACCCCAGCCTTCTGATATAAACAGTATCGCACCTGGAGGACAGGTGCCAATTAGAAATTTAGCAGTATTGCTGCCTTTGTATTGGGATCAAGTCTCGCTTTTTGGGAGCAAAGATGAAGGCCGTCATATCTTTATCTCGAAGCAGCCAATGATGACTGCTACCATTGGACCAAAAGAGTCAAAGAATGCCCGTGGCATCGTTTTCTGAATGTCGCTCCTCGATGGTTACAGAATTTGCGACTTAAGCCTCCAAAATGCAGCGTGCAGCCACTTTTCAAAAATCCTGCGCTTACAGTTGCGTCTGAGATGCCGAACCTGTAAGCAAGATCTTGAAAAGGGAAGTTCCACTTGAGCTCTTCATTACAAACATGAGGAATTCCTAAAACTTCTGCAAGTAATTTTGTGGTGTGTGCTTTACAACAGACTCTACCAGCTGAAAAATTGCAAACAAAACTGAAAAGTTAGCAAGGCCTGTATAAAAGAAAACATTCGCTCTGTGATCACAAAGCGATGCTCCGGTTACTTCAAGCTGTTCCTTTTGCTTTGCCAATGTACACACCTTTCGCTTTGCCAATGAACGCAGCTCAGAAGCAAGCCTCCTGTTATCCGCTTCAACTGCTCGCAGGTCCTGTATCGCCAATTCTGTTTGCATGGCAGCATCTATGCCAACAAAAAGAAATTTTTGTGCATCAAATTTCAAGCGAAAGGAATGTCATTCTCAGCTGATTAGGAATGTAAGGATATGACTCAAACAAACCTTTGTTGCACGCTGCTGAGTCTAGTATGCAACTAGAAGAGGGAACATGAGAGTCCATGGTGCAGTCTGGCGAAGGTGCGTTATTTTCAAGGGATTGGCAGAATTCAGTGCTCGCTGTGGCGGTTAACGCTCGCTTTTTTTGGCGTTTCTTGGAACGCTGGAAACGGGAAGCCGGAGGTTGTTCACTACGTTCGTAACCCAGGTGCTGGGTAGGCACCCAGTCGGGGTTTGTGTCGTCCATGAGAGCTGAAGGTTTGCCTGCAAACGAAGAGATGTGCCCGTACTTGACGCATTAGAATTCGCAGCACCTTAGCTGTGTAAACTCGGCGCCACCGCCGCCGCAACACTATCGACAGAAGTGTGCCACAAACACCACACAATTAAAGAAACGCTGTGAGAAAGGTAAAAGCAAAGACTAATAATGCCATACGCACAACGTCGTGCACCTCGACCGGAAGTGGCTGTACGCAAAGGCGCGGAGAGCTCGTGCCGGACGGCGAGTGTATCACTGGGGAGCATGTGAAGCCACTCACCTCCCTCATCCTGCTCCCCCCTTCCCTTCCCTCCTCCCTAGTTTCGTGACACAAGATTTGCCAACAAGATGCATCTTGTGAATAGACCTTACGCTACGCTACAGCTTCGAAAAACTCATTTTGACCATCCAAACAAGTTTCGCGAGGGGTCGAGGTGCACCGTGACGCTACTCTGCTTCGTCCGCTGTTGCATTGCGCACAGGGCGCGAACAGAAGCATCCAGCGATCCACGTACCGTTGAGCAACTGATTTCTTACCTGTAATGAAGTGACGACCGCAGACACGGACGTTGTCTAGGTTCTTAAGATCCTTACGATGTATCCGAGCAAGCCAGAGGCTTCGGCGTTTCTCAGACAGCACCTTTGTACGCTCACACTGTCGCGTTATCACCTTTGGCAAACAGTGCAGCCCTACATTTGGCTCTGTGTTACTCTGCTGCGCAGAGGACTTGCTGTTGCTTCGGCAGCCGAACATTGCGCACATTGGCATGACTGCACTGACTGCACCACCGGCACCACTGTGGACTGCACCACCACTATGGTGCCTGGAACGCGTCTCGGACTGGTGTTTTTACCGCAGCCAAAAAAGTGGTCCCTCGATTTCAGTCTGATGACGTCATAGAAGTGTCACGCTGTCGCCAGTCGCGACCCTGGCGGCGTTTCAACAGTTGTGGTACTACTAGCAGACGCCTGTTCTGCTGCAGGCCGCTCTCCACTGCAAGGCGTTCTTGCTCCACTGTGATAGTTCACGGAAGCTTCGGCAGCCGGAAGTTGGGACGCCTGGGACGCCGTTGCCAAATACCGTAGATCTCTCTGGCGTGACATGTCACGTGTGAGAATCCTTCTCACACGTGACATGTCACGTGTGAGAAGGATTCCTTGCAGGCTTGCGCGCGCACCGTCCGGTAGGTTTTATTAGACTAGGCTGCAGCGGATTACCAACTTGATTTTAAGCGGAGAAGCAAACTAACCCCCCCCCTCCCCCCCCCCCCCCCCCACCCCACCCCAGGACCGGGGGGCGACGCCGGCCTGTGTTTCTCCTGCCCAGTGGCGGCTGTTTCAGGGGGGGGGGGGGGGGGCGGCAAGACACATGCTTTGCCCCCCCCCCCCCCCTCTGAGAACGGGGGGGGGGGGGGGGGGGTGCAAGGGGCAAGCCCTTGCACTCCCGGTTGGTACGCCCATGCTAGCCTAGTGTGTTCTAGCCAGTTCTAGCACCCCATAGTTAGACGAAGGCACGGTGGGAGGACGAAGGCTAGCTACGGTCACGTGATGTCACGTTGGCTGTTCTATGGTGGCTAGAGAGTTGGGTGTGTCGAGCGGCGGCCGGCGCGCGGCACCAAAAGGAAATCTGTCGCCAGGAGGCGCCTCGGAAGCCCTGTATGCTATCCGACCGCGGCGTCAGCGGCAGTTTGGCTGCGCTGGGACCGAAATGCGCTGCGTGCGGACCTTTTACCGGCCACTTGTCGGCTGTGTTTTTTTACAAAATTAATTGGTGTGGCATAATGAAAGTCTGATAAAGCTGGATTCGATAGTCGACCCGATTTTGGAGCGTCGACGAAGGTAAATCCGCACTTGAAGTCGTTCTCTTCTCATCACAACGCTCTCGGGGTAATATAAAAAATGGGGCAATTTATTTTTTTTTCTCTCGTGTACTATGTTTTCAAAATACGTGAAACGACCGCCGAGGTATCAACAGCCGTGACGAAATTTCGCGTTTCAAGCCGCTGTGTTACGTCTATCAAATGAATCGACACTGAACAGCTCAGGCCTTTTAACATTAAAATATGTGTGAGGACGCTGGATACTTCTGGAGCAATTCCCCTGTGATTCAAGAGCAGACATGGCTGGCGAGAAACAACGCGAAAAGTTGTCATGACACAAAGCAAACAATGCATTTTTGGCACTTTACATGTTTATGCAACGTGGAAAACTAGCAATGAAATACAAAATCGATTTTAAAAGAGAGTGAGCGAAGTAACATATTATACATCATAGGCTGTTTATTTATAACAAAATCGGCGGATGTTTATCGGCGTTTATTTATTTCACCAATACCGGTGCTTTGGTGAATTTTCTCATGCAGACGCTAAAAGCGGGGATCATCGGGGGTGGGGTGGGGGGGGGGGGGGGGGGGGGGGGGGGGGAAGGAAGGGAAGAGAGAGATTGCGAATGTAAACCACCGCTGAAGACGAAAAACATTCCAAATTTTATTTACGTCTTTTACACAACCTCTTTCACACAGGATTGTTGTTGTATATGCATGCATACATTCCTAGGCTCATGTCTGTCACTGACGCCCGCTCCTTCCTGTTGACGACGCGAAAGGTCAGCTTCATTAAAGTCGTGTTGAAAAGTGCATGCAACCAGCTTAAAGGGATGCTGAACCGAAATTCGGATTTCAGAAAATAAGGCCGCAGACAGCGTTGGGTAAAATACATCTAAAAGATACTTCAGGTAATTAAAGTACAAAGTAAATGAGACGTGATGTGCTTTAAGTAATTTTGTATGAAATACACTGGGAACAACGTACTTGAAGTAAAGAACTATAAGTACAATGTACTTTCAATGTAAAGTACAAGTATTTTAACACAATCTTTCATGATGCTCTTTCATTCCCCTATACAGTGTTTTTTTTTTCCTTAATTGGTATGCATTGCGGAGGGGTAATCAAGGGTGCAATGCCTCAAAAACAGCGGCAAATATTTGATAAAATCAAGTGGCCATAATTTTTTTTTTCAGGAGTGGAGCCAAATTCAGAAGACCCTCTTCTGAATTTGGCACCCCTTGCACTGGATTGTAGCACCCAAGGGGGTTAAATGTAATAGGACAGAGCATGACGTCAGCCCCATAGCTCTCATAAAAAAATATCCTCTAATTAATAAAAAAAAAAATGCCTGTCCAAGCGAGCTGGTGATAATTAATCATAACGTGACACCTGAGATTTGGGTGCAAAAAAAATTAAGGAACTTTCAAATAGAAGGAAAAGACAAAAGATAATGTCTTAAAACATTGTGACGTCCTAGCTCCTGTGTTGTCTTTCACTTCGACTTGAAAATTTAATTTTTTCGCATCACAGTCTCAGGTGCTACATTATGATTAATTTTGCTCTCCTGATATCTTAAACCTCGTTGCTTGCGCTGACCGACAGAGAAGTAGCGAGAGTTTAAAAAGCTACGGGAACGCCGCCCCCAAAACAAACGGAGCGATCCGTCGTCTGCTCACGTTTCTGGTGAGAGTAGAATATTCCTCCTAGTATTTCTTCGTAGTTGACAAAGCGTCATTTCGTGACACAAATTTAGCAAAACCAAATTCGGGGAATGTGCTTTGAAGTCGGGAATTGTACTTTCCTCGGAAAGTAGCAGAAAAAAAAGTACATTACATACTCAGAGAATGTACTTCAAGTAAAGTACGAGTTTCCTAAATCTAATTTAAGTAGTAATTTAAGTGCAATGTACTTAAGTACATTGTACTTTAAGTACAATGTACTTAGAGTATGTACTTCCCAACGCTGGCCGCAGACGTGTTCAGCAGGACGCTACGAGCCCCAAAACATCACTCATACAGCGATATATCGAACGGATCGAGCGATACTTTAGAGAAGTATCGCTTGATGTACCGCTCGTCAAAGCGAAGTGCGCACACCACAGAGTTTTCCTGAAGATGCGTGTCTCCCCTCGAAATATTCCTGTCCCACTGAGAGAAGAGGACTGGGCCCTTCGGGACGGTGAACGTGTGTTTTTCTTTTGCAGACCTGTAGCCTGTCGTGTATCCTGGAACTGCTTTTTCTTTACGCCGGAGGTTGACGGGGCAATGTCCATGGTCTCCGCATGTCACCTGACTGACGGGCACGCAGGAACGGTTAAAATAAATTCACACGAGCGCTAACGAACAGATGAAAGCGGGCGTGAACTCGTCGCTACCCGCCTTGCCGCACGGAAATCAGTGCGCCAGCTGCGCGCGCCTAGCATACAGGCTGATTAGAGCGCCCCTGACGGTGATTTTCCAAACCGGCCGCGGCGATGCATGGGAGAGCCTGTGTAGGACGCCGATCTCACTACCCCTCCGCTTCGACTACGGTAGTGGTTATGGCGTACGCCAAAATCAATACCGTAGTCATTTCGGCGTACGCCATAGTCAATACCGTAGTCTTTTTCGCATACCCCAAACACACTACCCTTACGCCAAATTCAATACCTTGAATAACGTCGGTTCAGCAGGGGTTGAGCTCCGCATTCCGCTAAAACTGGCGGAAGTAACTTTCTGCGGCAAAGTACTCTGATTGTTTGTTGTTTGTATGAGCCACGACCAACTCGCGCGCGGCAGGCGTTGTTAATTTTGATTAGCGTTGATACGGCTGACGGCGCACAAAGCTGAAGGGCACAAGCAAGGAAGCTTGGAGTGATTCTGTGTCGATGTGATTTGACGTCGCTTCTTTCTGTTTCTTCAATCATGGTGCAAATGCAGGTGCCCGACTCCCGAACGATTCGAAGGCAAGAGTGGTAGCCTGCCTATCCGCTGGTCTTTCAATCGCATCCACTGTCGTCATTTTGGGCACAGCGGAAGAAAATAAGACGTTCACTATTTTAAATAGCGTGCGATCGGCCTGTCTAGGTTCTGGCGATACCGTTTCAGGCTGTAGATGAGAAAATTTAGCCACTACAGTACGACTGCTAGCCTGGGGTCTGTGCCTCACAACAGATCGAAACGGGTAGGGGTGGGGATCCCTGGCAGCGGGACCTTTCGCCGTACGAGCTGCGGTGCGCTAAACACACTCGACCTCCGATACCCCCTTGGGTCACAGCGCTTGCTGAAAGAAATTTGGATCGTTTTACGCAGATTTTGCAGTGCGTACGAGACGAAAAACTACGTACTACGTCCTAGATGCCCAAACTGAGGCTCGCTACGTGTTTGCGGCTCTCGTGATCTGGGGAACAGTATGCTCGCCATGAAAATGTTGCAGTGAGAAGTACGGAAAAGTAATATTATAAAAGTAGAGTATTTGAAACTGGCTTGCATTGTCGCTGAACATATGAAAATAAAACTGATTAGGAATGCTGATCAGATCGGGTGGGAATGTGATAAAGATCTTTAAATAGGCTCGGGTTATATGCGAAGTTGCGTCGGAACAAGTGGGCAGGGGTGCTATACTCTCCATCCCCCACATAATTCAAATTCCTTGCCCCCATCCCTGTTCCTATATTCTTCTAATGTTACTGGCAGGTTCTTTTTTCTTTTTGTGCCTAAAGCTGCAGTTTTCTACACTTCATCTCCCCTTAGCATGGACTGTTGTTAGCCAGATTCTACAAGTTTGAGCTAATTGCTTTGGATCACACCATGGCGGTTGCACGAGTACTCATTCACTGCAAGCGCTGTGAAGGCAGTCGAGGCTATACCATCTTGTGCTTGCGCAGCCTTTGCAGTTAGAGGTTTCGAGGTCCTTTGTTTTGGCCTGTTCTTTTGTGTCTGGGTTTCATGTTTTTTTTTTGTTTCTTGTTTTGTATGCTGGATATGGTTGGAAGTTATGTTACCCCTAGTAGTAGGATCTTTTGTAGAAACATTGGTTTGAGAGTAAATGGTTCTAGTACCTTCTTTCTTTTTCTTCTGGCCGAGCAATGAACCTTTTGTA